TGGTGTTATCAGCACCATGCTCTAACCAACTGAGCTAACCAGCCAGCTCTTGTATGCTAACTTTGAACAAGCAAGTAAATACATTGTGGATAACAACTGCCCGCTTACAAATAAGAAAACGGGGACGGCTAGAGTGAATCCTGTGATACTGGATTGGAATTGGAGATATCAGTATGAACTCATGGTTTTAAATATATGTACAAGGGTAACTCACAAATTTGTGGAAAAATAAAATTAAAAGATAATACAATCTTTCTGTGAACTTTTTGTAGACCATATATATATGTGTGTGTGTATGTACCTATACGGATAGGTGTGGAAAGAAATGTAGATATGTGTATATGTGTGTGTTAGTATACTTTCATATATTTCCTAGCTCTGTCAGCTGAAAGCCAATAATGACCATTGCAAGCAAGAACCACTGATGGATGCTAAAATTAGTGGGCTAAAGTTTAAGAAAAAAACAGGACAGTTGCATAATATCAAAGTTTCTCTCCGTAAGATATCTATTAACTACAAAGGGAAAAATAGTAATTTCACAGTGTAAAAACCTTAGCTACTACCTTAGCTATGTGACCCAAGTGAACATTATTCTAAGTAAGAAGGTACAGTGACATCATGTGCCCCTGATATGATGCACTGGGAAGGACAGGACATTGAGCCTGTGGTATTCTTGCCAAAAATGCATAACTTCAATTTAATAATGAAAATAATTCTAATTTTATAAATTATATAAAATGTTATAAAATATAAAATTTTATGTATAAAGCTTTAGAAAATATATAAAATAATTTTGATTTTAATAATTGAAAACCTCAAATGAGGGATATCCTACAAAATATCTGGACCAGACTCTTTAGAAGTGTTATGGTCATGACAAACAAAGAAAGACTGAACAACTGTCACAGACTGATGAAGACAAAGGAAATATGACAATAAAATTAAATGTGATATCCTGGATTGGATCCTGAACCAGAAAAGGACATTAATAGGAAACTGGTGAAATTTGAATAAGGTCTGTAGAGTAGTTAATAGTATTGCATTGATGTTAATTCCTGGTTTTGATGATTGTATTTTGGATACTGTATGCAAGATGTTAAAATGAGGGGAAGCTGGATGAAGAGAAAACTGAAACTCTACTATTTTTGTAATGTTTTTGTAAGTCTAAAATTATTTCAACAGTGTTCAATATAAAAAGTTTAAAAACTTTATGCTAAGTGAAATAAGCCAGGCACAGAAGGACAAATATTGTATGATCCCACTTACATGATGTACCTAGAATAGTTATATTCAAAAAGAAAACAGAATACTGGTTACCTGGAACTGGTTACTATTTAATGGGCACAGAGTTTCAGTTTAGGTTGATGAAAAAGTTCCGCAGATGGATGACGGTGATGGTTGCAAAACAATGTGAATGTAATGCCACTGAGCTGTACACTTAAAAGTCATTAAAATGGCACATTTTATGTTATGTATATCTTACCACAATAAAAAAGTTTTAAAAAAAGATTTAAAAACTGCACATGAAGGTTTATAGTAGCTTTATTCAAAATTGCCACAACTTGGAAACAACTAAGATGTCCTTCATTCAATCGGTGAATGGATAAACAAACAGGGCTATATCTATAGAAGAGAATATCACTCAGCGATTAAAAAAAAA